ATTTTATGACAACAGTTACTTTGATCAAAATCATTATCCTGCATTAAAGCGTACCATGATGACTTTTTGGCATGTCGAAGCCTTCAAAATTAGCCTCCTGCCTGTTAGAATCCTTACCCCGAGAACAGTGTGTCACAAAGTTTAACAGAAGCCTATGCATTAACATCCCACCCTTCCGGTATGCGTAAACAGCTTTCTGTACATAGTTCTTTTTTTTTTTTTTTTTTTTTTTTTTCATTTTTCTTTTTTTTTTTTTTTTTTTTTTTGCCATATGTTCCTATGTTATTCTAATGCTGTTAATATTTGGAAATTGTTAATATTTCTGAGAAATATTAACGCAGGTAACAGTAATATTGTATCTGCTTTGTAGTCCCAGCATACAAACTTATTCTGCCCCCTCACTGCTTGTTTATTATTGTAAACAGAATTATTCAAGATAGGAATATTTCACATTTACCAACAGGAAATATTTATTGTTGTAACTGAGAACTCTACATACAGTAATGCACAAAATTATAATGAACCAATCAACAAAACTATGTTCCTACGCAACTGTAAATAGCACGTTAACAGAATTTCAACACATTGTGCGTTAGGTGCCTTAGGAAAGTGACAATTTAGAGGATTACTTCAAGTGAGTACAAAAGTGCAAGCTTTCATTCAAGGCATATACACAAAACACATGAAAAGGATTGCTTTAAGTGCCACAGGTCTAAAAAACCCCAAACCAACATCCCTCTCTCCACAAAAAAAACCACACCAAAAAAGTTCAATGAGTAAGTACTAGCACTCTCAGCAACCAACAGTGTTACCACATTCAGCCTTATCCTCTAGCAAGAAGCAGTGAAGCCCAACCTGGAAACACACTTAGCTTCGAGTTTTAGACATATTAATGCAGCTACATCACATTAACTGAATGTTTTTATGTTTGGCAAGCCTGAAATACTTACGGCACTATAAATGCACCTAGCCAGTGGATTGCCAGTAATACCTGAATTACTGTATAAAGTAGCTGTGTACAACAGTTGAGCGTTGAAGGAAATAGTGTTTTTACATCCAAAGGTGACACAGTATACAACCAAAATTCAAGTATTTAATATTAAGCTGTAGGTGTGGAAATTCTGACCTGCTGTTCCTGTGCACTACATAAAACAGACCAAAAATTATTTTATTTTTTCATTTTCATCCTTCTCTTTACACCTTTTCCCAAATGGCTTGGGCAAAAGGTGCAGAGGGAGGAATGAAAACGTAGCTGTAGTCCTATGCCTTCAGCATGTTACTATTCCAAAGTTGTTAACAGGCACTCGGATACAACTGTCCAGACGAACGTGACCTCTGGATTTTCAACGCGCAGCCTTGACGCTCTCACTTCTCTCTCATCGCAACACCTCCTTGTCCTTGACTGCGAGACCCCAGTCCCTGTTGTCCCCCACTTTGTTTGCACCCTTTTCACCAGCTGTTCTGACCAGTTGCCCAGGCAGACATGTTATCTTCCCTCCTGCACAAGCGAGCAGCTTAGCTGCACAAAGTCATCTTTGGACCCTCAGGGAAACATGGAGATAGCAGGGTGGAACAGGTCTTGTCTCGTACAAGCTTTTGGGAAGGCCTGGAGAGACAGCCACACTTCTCCTGAGCACCACAAGTACTGAAGACTTTATAAGCTTGAAAAACACTGGCTTACAAAAACAAAATTCTGATTAGGAGAAAGTTTAAACTCCAAAGGCGAAAAAACCCCAGCCTCCTATAAACATATTTTAATTACAGCCTAATTAAAAACAATTATGAAATACTAGATTTTTTTAAATTATACACGCTTTTTCTCCTGTTGCCAAGCTAACCATAAAACAGGAGTTAAACAGAAGTTACCATAAGCTTTGGTGAAAAACCCTAGTACCTACAGAGGCAAAAAACAGAGTTCAAGCTGTAACAAAATTCGTAAAGACATGACTACAAAAAAAAAAAAAGTAATGAAAAGTGTAAGATCTCTCTCAAAAAAAGTGTTCATAGTTTTTGATGCACAGACAACACATTCTGTGAACAAGGGGAATCAGAATCTAGAGGCAGATTTACCAATTTTGCAATTTAAGTCAAGAAAGATAAGTGACAGAAATGTGAGAAACAAGGTCTGTGTGTATCCTGCTCTAGCACTCCAGTGCTGGAATGTATTTCACATTCTTGAAAATTACTTTGCAAGTACAGGAGAGGCTGTGCCTTCAAAAAGGAAAGGAACAGAATTAACATCGGGTTAGCCCATTTTGAGGTATTTCTACAAGCAGTGTTCTGGTGGCCTACCACTATATTAACACATTAACTTTTTGGACTTCCCTGGGTTTCTGGGAAAGTAAACCACACATAAAAAGATGAAAGCATCAGAAAACTACAAAAACAAAGCAAGCATCTACATAATCATAGTGAACTCAGAAGCTGAGGGCTGTATGCCTGTGTATATAAATCTTTATAAACAAACACATAAATGGTTGGGGTTTTTTTGTTGGGTTTCCTCCCCTCCCCAAAACCAAAGCAGAACACATACGCAATATATCCTTTCAAATGGGTTTTGGGTGGGGAAGTGTGAGTAGACTGGACAAAGAAAATGACAAAGGGAAAGAACAGTGAAATTTTATTTCCTTGGCATGTGAAAGTACAGAGATGTTACTACAGCACTTACTGTTCTTACCTTTTGGATTCCAACTCATCACAAATTATAGCACAACTACATCAGTGGTGGAATTTAATATACAATTTACATTCTCAACACGATTTAGGTTTATTTTTCTTAATGGTATCCACACTTTATGCAGCCTATGAACCTGAAGGAAATGCATTTGCTTCCGAAAGCCATAATAGTAAGTGTTTTGGGGTGTTCAAAGTCACAGTAGTACTCCTGAGATTTCAGATGTTAAAGCTTTCTCCACAGCCACATGTTCCTTTGATGTTTGGATTATTGAAGACAAATTCACTGGACAGTTTGTCTTCTACATAGTCCATTTCAGTTCCTAGCAGCGTCAGCTGTGCCTTCTTCTCAATAAACACTCTAACCCCTTGAAGACAACAAAAGAAAAAAAAAATATTACATACAGCAAAATCATCACTCACTTTAAAACTTTCTTTTGCCCAGTGATAAAAAAATGGAAGCTAAATATGACGACTACCAATACAACTCGGTTTTCCTGCCATAACATGGGACACTTCCATTGTTGTTTTTACTCTACCTATAAAACTCTAGCAACAGTCTAACACTGTTATTTGTCTGTACACATGAATGCATGTATTTTTGGGGGCGGGACTTAAAAACATGATAACCAGGGAAATAAGTTATAGAACTTCTGAACAAATCCCAGCTTCAATACTTAATTCCCATGCATTACAGCCACTAACCCATTTCCTACCATTCTTAAAGTCTGTGCATTCAGCAAGATGCCCCAAAACTTTGAAAAACCAAATGTTCTTGTCTCAAAATGATTATTTTTTGCTCTGCCAAAACTATGAGGTTTACATTAACTATTAGCAACACTGAATCCTAAAATAAGGTAAAGGTGTGAACTTTCAAAGATATCACAACGATTAAAGATTAAGAATTAGAAGTCCACTTCAGGAACTAGAAAGAATTCTCTTTTCTAAAGTACAAAAAGTATCTACCTCTCTGTAAAGTTACTGAACTTTAGAACTGCAAAATCTGACAAAAAGGTGCAAGTGGACTGCTTTAGCTGTCCACAGACTATGAAATAATAAAAATAATAACGTACAATTGTATCAAGTAAACAGCAATAAGAACTCATTAAGTCGTATGAGAGATCGCTGGAAAGCTGTTTCATCATAGCAGGCACTGAGACAAAACATATTACTAATACAACTCAAGTCTGTGGGCAACTGAATTGAATCTACACATTCTTCAGGTCAATTTGGACAGTAACTGACACTGAAGGCTAAACTTCATTAAAGAGTTCATGGACCTGATCCCTGAAGCAGTCACTTAGTACCTAAAGTCAGAAAATTTGCAGTGGGATCCAAAGCCACCAGCTCACTGAGCGCAGAGCTACATACAAGTCAGGGCCTTCACTGGACATCTGTCTAGAAGCAACCAAAACAGAACAGAAAGCACACAGGCACACCTGAAACGCTGTCCAGCTTTGGAAATTAAGGTCTCTGACCTGACTGAGGGAAACTGCTTTTATCTTCCTTAAGATCCAAACCAACAAATGCCTTCTGAAAAATGTGTTTTCATCCCCGTAAACCTAGAGCAGCTCTGAGTCAAGCAGAAGTAGTAACTCCAGAAGCCAGCCTAACTTGAAATCAATAGGCACCTGCACAATTAGGTGGCAGTCCCTATCTCACATACTCTGGTTCAATTTAATCATTTACTTAAGTTACAACTAATTCTCCGTTTAAGAGAATAAAATTTGAGTTGGTCACAGGCACTCTGAAGACAGTTGGAAGACGGGCTCTGCCTAGCAGCACAGCTTCTGTAAGAAAATACTTGTGATATCACAGAATGTTGGGGGTTGGAAGGGACCTCTGTGGGTCATCTAGTCCAACCCCCCTGCC